GGCTTCATATTAAACTTGGAAGTGAATAAAAGGGACATGTAAAGGCCATGGAAGCCCTGGCGTAACATAGGTTATTAAAAATAACCAATCAATCTTGACTAACTATAAAAGGTTACAGAAGAGTTTGAAAAGGGCGCTCCAATATGAGGCACTGAGCTGTCTGATATCCCAAAGGACCTCTACAGAAGTTTGTTTGTCAAAAACTTTAGCATTTATTTTTATACCGATTGACATGATGAAAAAAGTTTTAGTAGCACGATAGTCAAGTATTTTAGCCGTGTTGTTTAACTACCGCCAAGGAAATCTTTGTTAGCCAGTCTGCAATATATCTAGGGATTAATATTTGGTTCGTGTTGTTACGAGATTTTTAATTTTGAACTTTAGTTATCCACCTGATGATCCTGATCTTGGGTTGGGTGGAACAAGAAGGGATAGAAGAACTAACCACCATTTTCTTAAATCAAGTAGTTATTTGTTTTTAGCTGGTTAATGCTAGAAAGTTGCAATGATAATTTGTTTCATTGCTGATTGTTAGGTTTGATTCTGAAATTCAACCATCTACTGAAAAAAATCGTCGTGAGGCACGGCAAGCTCCAAGCTTCAGTGGTCCACTAATGCTGCCAAACCGTGCTTCTGCAAACAGCCTATCAGCTCCCATAAAATCTTCTGGAGGTAATGAGGCCATTTAACATACATAGCTGTTGAGTAGTAGATGTGTTCAAGATCTCATTTTTAATTTTTAATTGATATTTAATGTCACATCACATTTGTTCAATCCAATTTTTGTTGCTGCAAAAAGAAACAATATCCTTTTGACAATTGAATGAGCATCCAACTGATTCATCGATGAAATCATTTTGAAGTCAACAAACTGTTTTGTGGTCAATCATTCAGATCCTAAGTTAATCAGTCAAAAGCATAGCATGGATTGCATCTTGGTCTCATCTTGCACACAAACCTCACTTCTATATACTTTAATCTTGTTACAAATTATACGATAACACTTTTATGTAGAATGGAAACAATATTTCATCTTCTTTTACTCTGATAATTACATCTTCATCAAGAAAATGGTTTGCATCTTGTTTCTTGTTTTATTTTATTTTATTTTATTTAAAAAAAAAGAAAAAAAAAAAAAAAAAAGAAACTGGCTTACACCTTCATTTTTTTTTTATTCTTTTTATGAAATTTGTTTGACATTTGTGCATCTCTTTCAGAAATCAACACAATTGATTTGTTATATGATTAGCTTCGTTTTGACCTGAATTGTTTTGAACTTGTTATTAATAGTTAATACATCACATGTAAAGGTTCTTGGTTGGTGGTAGATAGTAAACACATTTTGAACTTGTCATTACTGCTTGTCATGCTTTAACAACAAGATTGGTTCAGTGATTGATGTATTGACTTTCTTTTAATGGTGTTTAATAGATGGTGGAAATTGGTTGAAGGAAACAGACAATGCCGTCGATTTGTTAAGCTCATTATTTGGCTCTATGACATTTTCCAACCAGCATAACTATCTAACTATTTGAACCCTAAAAGAAGCCAAGTAAATGGAGAGAAAGCCCTCAATTTTAAATTCAAATTAAACCTAACTGCAATGATGTTTGAAATATTAGAACTGATCTCAATGTCTTGCCCAATCCCCAGCATTCAAGATTTGTATGACAGTGGTCAAATTGTGTTTCCTGCTTGTGGGCTCTTCTGGCTGTAATTTTTTTTTATTCCTCTTGTAACAGGGTTTAGAGATTCAATGGATGAAAAATCCAAAGCTAATCTTGTGCAAATTAAGGGACGTTTTTCAGTGACATCAGAGAACCTAGATCTCGTAAAGGTAAGGTTATACAATTATTTAATTTATTATACAAACTGACTGGAACTAACTTGAATGCTGGCTTAGGATATTCCATTGAGCACAGTTTCACGTCGGTCTTCACAGGTTCGTTACCATTCTTTGCTAATGACCATTTCTGGGTTAGTTTATGCTCATTTGCTGAATTCTGTTACCTTGATGTGTGTTCAGAACTCGCCTCTACGAAAGTCGGCTAGTGTCGGTGATTGGATATTTGATTCCAAGCAGGTTGGTAAAATGTCCCTGTTTGCTTTCGTCTCCTTGTTATTACTGGAATTCAAAATTATTTCTAGACAAAAAAAATATTTTACGTTATGGCCTGTGTATTATCGATGCATTTGTTCCATGGAAAATCATTTATGTAAAATATGTTTTTTTTTTCTTGCTTCTTGTTAACGCTTTGGGGACCTGCCACAAGGTAATAATTAGAGTATGTTTGGTTATTTGATTTAAAGGGGAAAAACTTTATTTTTGTATGCTTCCTATATGAATACTAAAAGCGGAGTCAAGTTTCCATGGCAGTCATCGAATAAACTAACCTTTGCTATCTCCGTGCTACCATTTTTTTGGTTCTCAGTCTGTCAGCCAACCCCCTAAGGAGTCTTGCAACACCAACTTACCCACATCAATTCTTTTGCCTCATCTTCAGAATCTTTTCCATCAGACCTCAATTCAACAGGTAATGTAACATTAAAACTATGGTCGACTTTTGTACTTGGTCTCCTAAATTAATCCTGGCCCCAAAGAAATTTGTTGTCAACTTCAGTCGTGAAGAAATAAGCTTTTCTTTTGATTTCAGGATCTTATAATGAACTTATTGAATAGCTTGCAAACAGCAGACGTGGTTGATGGTAAGTAAAAATGGTTTTATAGGATGGCTGATGATGATCTTATTATATTAATAGGGTTCCTTGCCTAACGTGAGTGATATGTTTTCCCCTCTAAATACTAGCTACTCAAAATGGAAAGTTGCCTCCTTTGCCTCGAAACTCAGAGAACAATGGAATGGTAAGTGCCATTTTGCCCATGTGGTTGTGTTATGTGATTGATGGAAAAAGTTGCTCTTACGACCTTACCAAGGATGGAATATCTGTCGATATATCTGTAAATTGAAGAGTTCAACATCGATATTAACGATTAATCGATACCCCTCCGATATCTTCTATAAATCACACAAAACAAAAAAAAAGAATATCATCTGATAATCTCTTATTGGAAAATAAATGCAAGTAGATTAGATAGGTGTGGTTATACAGAATCTCACCCAGAAGAGATCCTCCTTTTGGCAGGCTGAAACAGCAGCTGTTGAGAGAGAGCGCTTACTGATGCGGAAAGTCTCTGAACTTCAAGCTAGGTGGGTTTTCTACAAATTTGTTATGAATATTTTTCCAGAATTTCCTCGAACAACTAATTTTATAGATGTATATATTTCATTGGAATCCCTCTTCTATCCAGAATGACGCATTTGACCTATGAATTGACCGCTGAAAAGTTGAAGTACATTCAAGTGAGTTCTCCAAGCTTTTACCTTCCTTGGAATTAATGTTCATTAGTGGAAAATTGGCATGTTTGGGAGCAACTTTGAAATTGTTAAAGTCACTTTTGTCATGTTCAAAATTAATTAATTTAATGTTTATTTTTACGCTCTTAAACACAATTTTTATATGATCAAAATTGACTTTGAATGATTCCAAGGCATATTTGGAGCAATGTTGAATATGTTAAAATCAACTTGTCATGTTCAAAATGACTCCCGAACATGCTTTGTAATCATTAAAATCAATTAAATGTGTGGTTTTACACTCTTAAACAAAAGTGATAACAAGTCATTTTTATTGATGTTCAATTTTTGGTCTGTAGTTACAAGAGCAGTTCAACTCGACTTCTGGTCAGGAAGAAAATGAGATCAAGAGGGAAGAAAATGTCTGAGTAACGCACATCCTGTGCTACGATTACTGTAAAGTACACCGCTATATATACATCTGGGAGAGAAATAATTATGCAGTAAATTGTTTCTGGACATTCAACTCTTTGGAGAATGTCTATTGTTGGCATATGTTAATAGCTCTGTTGTTGAGGCGAAGCCAGCAACCATTTTTCTCATTCTCCCATCGCCATCTTCATTTGGTTCTTCAGAGTTCGCATAATTCAGGTCAGTTGGAGTTCATCCCTAATACTAAGTGGCAGTCAGCTCCAAAAACTCCAATCTTGTTATTGTCTGAATGGCCAAGAGATGGAAGAAAAAGATAAAAGAAAAGCCCTTAGAGAGCTTTATTTGTGAATCGGGCCTCTTACATTTATATTTATTATTTGTTCATATGTAATAATGAATTTATTATTTCATTTCCAAGGACCCAAAACAAGAAGCTTGCAAAAGCAGGCTCTTCCTTCCTGTTTTTGTGTCAACATATATTCCTATTATGTTTTTGAGATATCAAAAAGTGGTTGTTTTATATAACAAAGTTTATAATGTTAGGCCTTAAAATGGTTCAAAACTAATACCTCCCTGGTGTTGATGAACACTACAGCTCTTGCATTTGGGTCGCCTTTTATTTCTCCAACTTTCTGCTATGCATGCATTTTTAGGGCTTAGAATGGTCCAATTTGAAACTAACTTTAAATTTCCTTACCCTAAGTGCATGTTATCTTATATTTTCTACTAAGAACAAAGTTCTATATTCAAAGTGATTCCAAAAGCTTCAATACAAACTTAAAAGTCACTATTTATATATAGCTCTATAAGAAAATAAGACAAATAACGTCTCACTAATATGTGCTAAATTATACACTTATCTAATATTTCTCCTACCTCGGACAGGTATAAAGATTCCTCCTAAAATCTAATAGGATGACTGGTTAAGGTCCATTTTGGAATCAAATTAGTCTTTCTGAATAATCTTATCATGCATCAAAACTTCCATTTCATTAGTCTCTATGTAAAGTATTGCTTAATCGCTCATTTCTCTTTTCGTCTTTCTTCAACCAGTCAGCTATTAGTGACATAACATTTCAAGAATAACACAATGCTTACTGATCAGATTTCTAAGACATGGTTCATGTAAATAATAGGTCGTGTTGTTATCCGTAGCCCGATGGCCCAGGGAGTTGGATAACATGAACTAAGTTTAATCTTCTTGAGATGAAGTTCATATCCAAATGACCCTTATACTGATTTTCTTATAGGAAAAGGGCTTAATAACCTCATCTTGAAACAGAATTCCAGTGCAACAGCAGCAGAAATAAATATATAAAGGTTTTCAGATACATACACAGCAGCATCAGTGACATGTGATGAGAAACTCTCAGCATTAAATTCCAGAGGTACTCCACCATCTAGTGTTGCAAGACCTGCATTTATCAACAATATAACTTCCTCAATGGATTTATAGATAACTCAATTCTTTATTCAAGACGCTACTTTTCATACCTTTAACGAAACCGAAAGCGGCAGATGTTCCAGTCTTGAGCTGAATATTATCCAAGTCTCTCCTTATTGTGTATCGGAATGTAACTCCAAACAAGGCACAGCTAATAAAGGTGATTGCAGTAGGGAGTGCAAGCTGAGAAATGCTGGTCACTTGATTAAGAAAGATAGGCAGCCCTGCAAGTGTGCCAACAATGGCTGATATGGACGCTGCTTTTACAGATTCCAATCTCTCTTCATCTCTGTCAATTCCTCCATCTTCCACGTCTCTTTTTGCATTTCCACCCTCGCTTTGTGAGAGAGAGCGCTCGGCCTCCTCGATCATCCCTCTTGCCTCCAATATCTCCTTTTGACATTCTTCAATCTTGAATGAGCAAAGTGACCCAGATGTTACTGTTATTTGTAGTTGACAACAATATTATTGTCACTTGGAGACAACACTTATAATTCACTTCGATAAGTGATGGATTTTGGTTGCTACCCAGCCTATAGGTTATAAAACAGTTCAAAATGGTCGATTGAGGAGGCTTACTAGGCTATTGGGTCCTTCCTCAAATGAAAAGGTAATAAAAATTGACTTAATTTTGCACGGGATCAAATATGGTTGACCATTTCCTTTTCCTCACTTGAATCAACCACGAGTTCACGGTCCCTCAGCTGAAATTTTGTGAGATTCCACATCGGTTGGGGAGGAGAACAAAACTTTCTATATAAATGTGTGGAAACCTCTCTCTTGCAGACGCGTTTTAAAAACCTCGAGGGGAAGCCCGAAAGAGAAAACCAAAAGAAGACAATATCTGCTAGCGGTAGGCTTGGACGGTTACAAATGGTATCAGAGTTAGACATCGGGCGATGTGTCAGCAAGGAGGGTGGACACAAGGTGGTGTGCTAACAAGAATGCTGGGCCCCGAAGGGGGGTGGATTGTGAGATTCCACATCGGTTAGGGAGGAGAATGAAATATTCTTTATAAGTGTGTGGAAACCTCTCCCTAGCAAACTTGTTTTAAAAACCTTGAGGGGAAGCCCGAAAAAGAAAGTCCAAAGAGGACAATATTTGCTAGCGGTGGACTTGGATGGTTACAAATGGTATCAGAGCTAGACACTAGGTGGTGTGCCAGCGAGGAGGGTGAACATGAGGCGGTGTGCCAACAAGGACGCTGGCCCCGAAGGGGGATGGATTGTGAGATTCCACATCAATTGAGGAGGAGAACGAAACATTCCTCTCCCTAGCAGATGTGTTTTAAAAACCTCGAGGGAAAGCCTGAAAGAAAATGTCCAAAGAGGACAATATCTACTAGTGGAGGACTTGGGCCGTTACAAATTTGCTATAATAATGGTTAACGTATACAGATTCCCATTTCACTAAATACAATTCAAAACAGCCACGAACAAAAGAAATTAGCAAAATGCACACCCTATGCAACCTCAATTTCTTGGTTTGCATTCAAACAGATTCAACAAGAGTACGAAAGAGATTGATTAACAAACTTCTGAAGCTTCGTTTTCAGGGAGTTAATATAATCCTTGATTCCTAGAGCATCCTCACAGGCAAATTATAAAAGAGTGTTTTATCACACAACAAGAATATGTAACAGATTAATTAAACAAACCGCGAGTTGGTTAATATAATCCTTGAATCCTAGAGCATTCTTGATTTCTTGGTTTGCATTGAGATAGATAATCAAAGAAAGAACACTTCATTGCATAACAGGAGTATCAAGAGATTAACAAACCTCCGAAGCTATGTTTTCAAGCTGGCTAATATAATCATTGAATCTAATAGCATCTCAGGTTCTCGGTTTGCAATTAAACAGATAACAAAGGGGTGTTTTGTCGCACCAAGAAATTAATTAGAGATTAATTAAATACCTCCGATGCTCTACTTTCGAGCTGGTTAATATAATCCTTGAATCGTTTGAGTTCAAGTTCCTGTTTCTCGATCTCAGCCAACTGCCTTTTGGCGATTTCAACTCTCATCGACGCCTTCTCCAAGCCATCGAGCAAACTCCTATTCTCTTCCTTGTTCAAAAGTTCCTCAATCTGCTCACCGACCATGCTGGACAAAGCATTATTCAAATTGACATTGTTTTGAGCTTCATCGTTCGATTCCGAGCTACATTTCACGATTTTGAGACGCGGTGTTGAGAAACCTAAAGGTTTGTGCGAGATGATCATGGAGGAAGGGTGTGATTTGAGAAAATTTGTAGAGATTGCGGAGAGATGAATTGGATTTGAAGGAGAAAGAAATGAGTGCTTGATTGTTGCAGACATTTCTTCCTTTCGTTGGCTTATCCGCTCTCTCCTGCTGCAATGAGGACGATAAATTCCCTTTATACCATATACCACTCTATACATACATACATATATATACATACATATATATATATATATATATATATATATATTTTTTTTTTTTTACAGTTCAATTATATATACATATTAATTTTATAATTATTTATTCTCCGTTAACTCTTAAATATAATTTTTTTAACTATTTGAAATTGATTTTTCGTTCAAGTATTTCTGGTTCGAGTAGATCGTTTAGACTCTCGAGAAGATCATTCCTTCCCAGATGCTTAGATCTTGAGTTTCATTCTTATCAATCTAAATTAGGCCCTTGCTCGGGGTCGGGCATGATTTTCGATTGAGCAACCTCATTTATTCTTGTGTGCGAGTTCGTATCGCCAATGAGTTATAGTAAGTGTTTTACGAATTAGCATTTTACTTTTATTAAAAGAAACCATTTTACTTTTATTAAAATAAATGATCTAACTGCTATGAGATCTCATATCGAGTAGAGAAGAGAACAAAACATTTCTTACAAAGGTGTGGAAACCTCTCCCTAACATACTCATTTTTAAAATCGTGAGGCTAACGACGATATGTAACAGACCAAAGCGAACAATATTTATAAGCAGTGGGTTTGGCCTGTTACAAACGATATTAAAGCCAAACAGTGAGCGGTGTCTCAACGAGGACACTAGGCACCAAGAAGGTAGATTGTGATGGTGTTAGGTCTTAGGGTGGTTGTGCTTGATGTGTGTCAGCGGGGATGCTAGACTCCCAAAGAAGTGGACTATGAGGGCACTAGGCCCCAGTGTAGATTGTGCTCGATATGTGTCAGCAAGGTTACTAAGCCCCCAAAGAGGTAGATCGTGAGTACGCTAGGCCCCATAGTGGATTGTGAGATCTCATATCTCTTATAGAAGAGCAATGCCTCCCTATAAGTGTGTAGAAACCTCTCCCTAACATACTCGTTTTTTAAACCGTGAGGCTAACGACGACACGTAACAGACCAAAGCGAACAATATCTATAAGCAGTAGGTTCGAGCTGTTACAAACGATATCAAAGCCAGACACTGAGCGGTGTGTCAACGAGGACGCTAGGCACCAAGGAGGTAGATTATGAGGGCACTAAGCCTTAGGGTGGATTGTGCTTGATGTGTGTCAATGAGGATGCTAGACTCCCAATGAGGTGGATTGTGAGGGCGCTAGGCCCCACGGTAAATTGTACTCGGTTTGTGTCAGCGAGGATGCTAAGCCCCCAAAGAGGTGGATTGTGAGTACGCTAAGGCCCATAGTAGAATGTGAGATCTCATATCTCTTATAGAAGAGGAACACATCTTTATAGGCGTGTAGAAACCTCTCCCTAATAGACATGTTTTAAAATTGTGAGGCTAACTATACGATAGACAATATCCATCCGTAGTGGGCTTGAAATGGACGTGGGCTGTTACATATGAACAATCCGAACCAACTTAACCTAAGAAATTTATGTGAATTCCAACCCAACTATGACACCTATACGACGGACAATATCCATCAGCAGTGGACTTGAAATGGGCTTGAGCTGTTACATCTGAACGATCCGAACCAACCTAACCTAAGAAATTTATGCGAATTCCAACACAACTATGCTCGACAATTTAACATTTATGAAAACATTAGAACTTTTATAGAATAATTCCAATTTAATTGGAAGATGACAAAATTCTCTAATGTTATACAAAATTATATCAACTAACATCTTGCTTCTCATTTCAGAACTACAACAAAATGATACAGAAACGAGGCAAAAGCTGATGTAGTTATAAATTAGTGGGGGTTTTGATTCAGTTACCCGTGTCAACTCCTACTGTCATGGCTTTATCTGGGGTACCTGCGGCTGCATATGGTACCTCGGGAATTGTAGGGTCCCCATATGCTGGCTTTGGGTCTGATACTGCAAAAGGGCTCCTGAGTTGGGCAGCCCCAGAGTCAATGTCCATTGAAGCCCTTGGAGGGGACGCCGGTTGGACCTCCACGTTTGGATATGCAGCCTTGAACCTTGCTCTTAGTCCTTCGTCAACTAATCGAGCTCCACTCAATTGATTGCCAAGAGATATCCAACTGAAAAAACGATTCAACAAAGGACCATGATCATCAAGATGTGCTAAGTTTAAGGAGCAATGATATGATCGAGTTCGAACTCGAAGTAGAAACGATATTTATTATAACAGTCCAAGCTAACCGCTAGCATATATTGTTCTTTTTCGACTTCCCCTCAAGGTTTTAAAAATGCATGTTTCGTTCTCTTCCCCAACCGATGTGGGATCTCACAATCCACCCCCTTTTGGAGCCTAGCATCCTCGCTGGCACTCGTTCCCTTCTCCAATCGATATGGGACCCTGCCAATCCACCCCCTTCGGAGTTCAGCCTCTTAGCTGGCACATCGCCCAATGTGTGGCTTTGATACCATCTGTAATGGTCCAAGCCCACCGCTAGCAGATATTATCCTCTTTGGGATTTCCCTTTCGGGCTTTCCCTCAAGGTTTTTAAAACACATCTGCTAGGGAGAGGTTTCCACACCCTTATAAAGAATGTTTCGTTCCCCTCACATACCGATGTGGGATCTCACAAATATCACCAGCAGCCACCGATTTGTAAATGCACGTGTGAAATGTGAACAAGTATGTGTATAAGCAAGGAATTCACAAGTTTTTCGAGATCATAATGCATGCGATCGCTATAGTTTCATCTCTTGAAAGATACTCATTTGAAGCGTCTACGAAAGGAAAAATATGGTAACGATAATATAAATGAAATATACCCCGCGTGAGTGTTGTGCATCCGAGCAAACAATTCTAGCTTCCTTGTTCTTGGACTTATCCTCTCAAGCAAAGGGTACATCTGCAACGACGCGTAATTATAAAGTATAAACGTCAATATTTCGAACTCGTGGACTTTTGGAGCAAAAAACCGATAGATAAGTATTGCAAGAGATAGTATACTGACCTCATCCGGTTTACGACTTGTTTCCCGAACCTCGGCAACAACAACATCTGTATCAATATTCCTGTTAACTTCTGGGTTACCCTTTATTCCAACAAGGCAATGCTCCTTACTATGATTGAGCCAATGGCCTGTCCGCCCTGTTCTAATAATTCTTTGAAGCTGATTTGTCTTAACCCATATAAGCTCCTCAACACGCTTGTATCCCCATAGTTCTAAACTGCAAAGGCAAGGTTATATGCTTGTGAACCAAATTAAATATAAAAATTCAGCATAAACACATAATGATTGTTCAGAAAGAATATATTCCTTAATGTATAGATAGATGTGATACGGTTGGTGAGGAGAACGAAACACCATTTATAAGTGTGTAGAAACCTTTTCCTAGCAGACGCGTTTTAAAGCCTTGAGGAAAAGCCCAAAGAAGACAATATCTGCTAACGGTGGGGCTTGAGTCGTTACAAATGGTGTCAGAGCTAGACATCGGGCGATGTACTAGTGAGGAGACTGTTCCCCGAAGGGGGGCTAGACACGAGGCGGTGTGCTAGTAAGGACGCTGGCCTCGAAGGGGGTGGATTTGGTGGGGTCCCACATCGATTGGAGAAAGGAACAAGTGCCAATAAGGATGCTGGGCCCTAAAAGGGGGTGGATTGTGATATCCCACATCGGTTGGGGAGGAGAACGAAACACCCTTTATAAGGGTGTGGAAACCTTTCCCTAGCAGACGTGTTTTAAAGCCTCGAGGGAAAGCCCAAAGAAGACAATATCTGCTAGCGGTAGGGCTTGAATCGTTACAAATGGTATCAGAGCCAGACACGAGGCAATGTGCCAATGAGGAGGCTGTTCCCCAAAGGGGGAAGACACAAGCTAGTGTGCCAGTAAGGACGGTGACCCCGAAGGGGAGTGGATTTGGTGAGGTCCCACATCGATTGGAGAAAGGAACAGGTGCCAGCGAGAACGCTGGGCCCTGAAAGGGAGTGGATTGTGATATCTCACATCGGTTGGGGAGGAAAACGAAACACCCTTTATAAGGGTGTGGAAACCTTTCCCTAACAGATGCGTTTTAAAGCCTTGAAGGGAAGCCCAAAGAGGACAATATCTGCTAGCGGTGGGCTTGGGTCGTTACAATATATGTATGTAAATTGAACAAGATCGAACATCCCCGAAGGGGCTATATATCGAGCAAGATCAGAAAGAACATATCAAACAGGAATTATTATAGCCAACAACAATAAGAAGTGAGAACCTACCATTCTCTTCCAAGTTCCATTGCACGTCCAGTGACCCAAAGAAAAATCAAACCATCAGTCTGTAACGCAGGAACGTTAAGATTGCGCATTTCGTCATCCGCCATTGTCCCGTAAGGCAATTCCATATGGATATCCCACGGTGGATCAGCCATAATCACTCCAAATTGCCCCAAAATATCCATTCTAAAATTACGAATATCACAGTTAATCCATTGCGATTCACCAAGTTCCACTTCGGAACAATATTCAGCTCGTTGAGGCTTTAGCGGTTTCGGAATAGATATAGATCCAGCTCCCATCAGCATCGGTGGCACATCTTGAATTGGATCGAGCTCGTAATGAACATACTTGCATGTCTGGGAAGAATGCAATGTAGCTTTATCATTAACACATTGATCAATACATCTATGTCACCAAACATTGCGTGGTATTGATATTTCATTGCCATATGATCCATATGAAATAAATATTTACCTTCATGTGCCGACAAGTATCAAGAAAAGAGCAGTCACCCAGATTAATGTCTGTATGTGGAGCAATTATTCGCCGAAAATGAACCTGCGAAATATTTAGGAAATAATTAGAGAGACTAATCTATTCGTTTAGGACGTGTCAAACATTGTAACACGGTGAAATAAGTTGGAGAATTCATACTTAGATAAGAACAATTACTTTTTCTCACGTATGGAGACAAGATGATAAAAGTATTGATATAATTAAATTTACTGCAACCGATTAGCTTAAACAAGTAGTTCGTGGCACCGCACGAAGGAGTATTGGAGTTTATTTCAAAGAGTCAGTTTGTT